GTCACACATAATGGAAGCAATGCTGTCAGTTGAGTATAACCATCATATCAAAGGGTCATCACAACCTTAACTTTCAATGAAGAAAATCTGGTCGACTAGTAGGAGGCAAACGATGACAGGGCAAGGTTCACGCTTGACCTGGTGGAAGAGAATTGAACCAATTCAACCCTACAATAGGAAGAAGCCAAAAGAAGAACCTCCCACTGCTACACTAAACACATCCAAAAAAAGAATTTTATTTCAAGAGATCTTATGCTGAAGAAGGTCGAACTAGACCAGACGTGGGTTGGCCCATATATTGCTGACCAAAGGAACGCCCCCGAAGCTTACAAGTTGAAGACCTACACCGATAAGGGAGTTGCTCAAATGTGGAGCAAAGATGATGTTAAATTATTTTTCCTATAGAAATCCCATGTATCACCACTAAAAAAAACAATAATAAAGAGGTTGGTTTCATTCCAATAAGCTTATTATATTTTTACCTTGAGAAATGTTAAAAAAACATGAATCGGTTAATTGTATAACCTCATGTTTGAACAAAACTCAAGGAACTCACAGAATTTGCATGCCCAATTTCTTAGCCACACATGGGAACTCGAGTCCGAACACTGAAGCCGACAACGACATTTAGATGTATGACAGACTAAACATAAAATAAAATAGCCTACAAAGCTCATACATCAAGGTCACATTTTTAAACTTGGTTGGATATAACTCTGGAGGCAGCTCCCTACCCAGTAATGACAAGCTTCAAGAGTGGTACCAAGCAAATCATCACAGAGTTTAGTTGAGATAGCTACCCGTATGAAATTGATGCCAAAATCCACTTAATAAGCTTAACATATGGGGTACTTCGTTCGGGGTGGAGATCTAACCAAGTGACCGAGACTCGACGAGTGTAAGACGCGAGCTAGTCTTATACATCAAAAAAAAAACTGACAATGATGTGGTTTGTCCAATCGGTGTTAAATTCCTAAGATGACCAACAATGAATAAAGTTGTCTGATCGTTATTCTAAAATAAAAATGACTCCCAAGCGTCAAAATTCTCACTAAAATCAGGTCAGACGAAACTTAGGTGGTTCATTGCCTAGTAGCAACAAGCTTCACGAAGGGTACAAAAAAAAACCTCGGAAGCAAACCATAATAGTTAAGTCATTCGAGACAAACACCAACCAAGCAAATGAAATGAGGCATAAATAAGACTAAAGTAGGAAATAAGTGACAATTGACTGAAAGAGGATGAAAATCTGACTGGCACACAAACGTCACAAGGAGTAAAAAATTCCATGAATAATAAAAGCAAGAGAAATGATAAAAAATCGGTCAAAAAGCTCATTTTCATTCCAATCCAATCAGTTTATTACAAAATTTTTCTACACAATGTTTTCATATATATGTGAAAAACAAAAATTTTCTAAGTACACACGTTAGATGTGCCATCATCTGCCGCTCCACCATCTTTGGACTCGCTGCTACCACCAGAAGATACTAACTGGGCAGAGAAGAGCTTCTTGGATTGTCCAAGTTAGAATATATAGGGTCGACCATTCCAACCCACATGTATTCGCCAATTGCTAATTTTGTGTCCAGTTGGAGGTTTGTGACCTGACCATTGGTGAATTTCTTCTGTCGTCTTAATGAAGGCTACCTTCTCCAACAAAAGCTTGCTATCTTACTGATCCATCGAGAACAAATCCAGTTGTTATCGCTCGCTCATCCTCAACAGAAGCTGCCCAAGCCTCAGCTACCTTCAGTCGTTCCTTAGCAGTGGCTACGCGAGGAGCCTCTGCTGTGTTTGCCCGCATCTCAACAATGGTTGTTCGAGCCTCTGCTGCATCTGCCCGATAGTGGTGTTGGTTGTCAGAATACCCCTCGACATCATCCCTCAGATAATTTGGCGTCTGGTCGCCCTCATCCTCGCGGAACCTCAACGGACTTAGATTCAAGTGCATGAATTTTTGTTTGATTAGAATGAGCTCTCCAGTTGAGATTCATTGAATAACTACAGTCATTTCAGAAACTGAATGAATGTAATCCAAACTTGGGAGATTTTCGTCTGAGCGAACAGCTGCGACCTTCGATCGAGAGTTGCCTTCTTGCTTGACTTCTTCTCTATGGGTTGTGTGAGTCTTTCCAATCGCCTCCTCCTCCACTGCATTTGAGTCAGCCCAAAGCGCAACAGTCATGACCTCGAACTTATCAGGTTTGCAATATTTTACGACAAACAGCTGCTTGCCCTTGATCGCTGAAGCCAAGGACCAAATCCGAGAGGCAAAAACTTTGAATTCTTGTATACTCCATTCGTCAGGCACACCTAAATTCCCCAGCTCTTGGCCGACCCAACAACATTTCGATACTTCCAGTCCATTACCTTGTTTTACAGGCCAAATAGGTGAAATTTTTGGGTCGAACCAAAGACAACATATTCGTCCGACTCAACCATGAAAAATAACATGTGAGAGAAGAGATCATGAGACAAAGGTATCTTCATCCGCCGAAATAAGACCATATAGGATAAAATCACCGTAATAGAGTTTTGCTTAATCTGGGTAAAGATCAACCATAGTGATTCGTGATTGACTACGAGAAATATTTAGGTAGGAAAGACGCACGCAAAATTGGGCGCGGTACAGTGTTATTCAAAGGGTACTGGGGGGTTATATTTATCTGTGTTATTGGGGGTATAACCTCACTATAACCCCCTAATAACCTACAAATAAATTTTGCGGTTCTATTTTCATATATTTGTAGGTTTCTTTATATATTTGTAGGTTACTTGGAGGTTATTATGAGATTATAGCCAGGTTATACCCCCAATAACACAGATATAACCTCTAGTACCCTTTGAATAACCTACTTTACGCACCCAATTCTGCGTGTCTTCCATTCCTAAATATTTCTCATGAGAGACTGACGAAAACCGCATTGAAACTGGTCCCGATAAAAGACCAGATGTTTCCCAGATCATCGGTCGCCCAACTATCCGGATCAACGACATGAAGGCTGATCTTAGCATTGGAAACACAACCTTTCTCAAGTATAGCAGTGTCGGTTGCAGTCAACATAGACTTCTCGGATGGAGAGCTATTTACGTACATCATAGACAAGTAATTATGCGTGTGTATGAACCCAAATAATCTTCCAATAACTCAACTATTGGAGCTTTTTAAGAGGTTATTGAGCGTATTAACCCCAATACTCAATAACCACTCAATAACTTACCAATACATTCCGCGGTTCGACACTTTTCTTTTTTCCTGTCATTCGAGGGTTTCGTGAGGTTATTAAGGGCATTAACCTCAATAACAGCGACATTACTCTACAATACCCTCCAAATAACCTTCATACGCACACAATTTTGCGGTGTATGACGTACGTAAATATTTTTCGCTCGGCTGACCCCTCGACCCTGAAACTCTTAGGAGAGTACTTGTTTGCCATAAGAGCAAAAGCTAAGAAAGAGTGAAGAATAGGTGGTCGATCGAAACATTACCCTCATATATAGGGTCACTAGTGAAAGTTCAAAGATTGTGGCCTAGTTATAAATCATGTTGGCCTAGTTATAAACTTTTAGAGGCCAAATCACATCAACATAGAAATGGAAGAAACATAAAAGATATAAATAACTTTTTTGTAAAAATTAATAGAAAAAGCATTTTTATTCAAATAAAAAATATTTTATAAGTGGGTCCTCGACCATCTCGATCGAGACAAACCCCTACCAAACTAATTTTTCTTGCAACACACGCCCTCCAAACCTAAACATATCTACACTGACTAACAGAGCTTGGATCTGCAACATCGAGCATGTTGACTGAATGTAGGCCAGCTCCATCCAGAGAGCTACCAACTCCATTGAATGCTCCAGTCGTAGGGTCGCCAGCTCCTCTCAGAGCGCCTCTACCTCCGCATTTGGCTGCGGGCAAATGATACCTCTTTTGAGCTAGGGTGTTCGGGCAAAGGTCCCTTCACCTGCACCAGAATCAGGAGCTTGGAAGACACCTGGTAGCGGTGAGTCAACACTCAGGACCGTGTCGTGTGCATCAATGAATAAACATCAGTAAGTAAGAAAAACTTATAACCTCATCGAATCATCATCACATACCCATAACTTCATACAGCTCGGACCATCGAAACGAGGGGCAACTCTCACCAGGCATTGATAGGGGGTCCACTGCCGCTCGAGCAAGGTGTGGTTCCAAAGCCACAGGCATTTAATCCCACGGAGCATCCACCATTTTATTCCCATGGCTTTTTTTTCTAAACCTCATCCATAATGTCTTTCTCCCGCTTCTACTTATGTGGCACCTTCGGGGCAGCTCCCTTTTCCTGGTCTCTTTGTGGCTCCAGATTTCTTCGCACCCTCAAGCCGACTCCATTTGCCCAACTTCTTTGTTTTGGTCTTCTCACCCTCGGGTCGGCCAACCCCTTCCTTCCACTTCTTCTCAAAATCCTTCTCTCGACGGGCCCACGTCACAAAATCACCAAAGGCTACCCCAGTATCACCTCTGTTACACAATCTTCCAATATCTCTTACCGCTCGTCACGAAGATCCTTCTGGAACTAGCCAACAGAACAACACACTCTCAAACAATGACGATAGTGAAAGCTTGGCTACCTAGAGGCTTCAAACCCTCATCAACCGACAAACAAGATAATTAAACCGTATCCGTATGGTATTTTATTTTTTACATGCCCAAAATACCTTATAACACTCCCAAGAAAGCAAGGACAGCCATGTAATTTTCACTTTATAACCCCTATGCTTATAAATAAGGGCCCTGGAGGGTCATTAATCACTCTTAAAAAAAACTAAATTCTTACTATGCAGTCTCTATCTCTCCTTTCTTAATCTCTCATATTTTATGCTTTTTTTCTTGGTGTGATTCACATCACGAATTCGGATTCAAAAATATATATTTATATATCTATGTAGTGCATTAACCCTATCTTGAAAAAAATCTATCTTGAAGGGTATTAAAATATAGTCCAGCCTACTGAAAACAAGAAACTTCATGGATAAATAGCTCACAAAAAGGAATACTAACAGCATAATAATAGTTCTGAGTTGAAGAAAAACAGCAGATCTCAAAAAGCTTGGATCAAATAACGTTACAACCAAATACAAAGCTATTGCCACTGAGGTTGTGTTGTCCTCCCCTTGTTCTTTCCTATGCCGTCAGCAGCAGTCTGGGCATGTTTGAGCCTTTCTGTAAGCCTGGAATGCTTGAATCCATCCACAGCCTTGGCATGTTTAGATCTCTCTTGTCCACCGTTTGTTGCCAATGTGTCCCCGTCGATCGCTCGTTGCTATAGCAGGAGGATGAGCACCGCTGCAATTATTATTAGATATTCCTTTCAGGGACAAATCCCTGTCATGGCTAGCCAAGAGCTTTAAATCAAAATGCTGCACGTCACATGTGTTCATTTCGACTCTGGCTTCAGTTCTGTCAATAATAAGATGAACATTACAATAGGATGAAGGAGAAGGTAACTTCCAAATGTTTTTGCATCATACCTGTCATTTTGATCATTCTCCAATGCAAATGATTTCTCTTTGGAATGCTGAAACTCGGTTCTGGACAATTCACGTTTATCATCACAACTGCCATACTGGAAACCCTCCCAAGAAGCCACCAAATGACAGGCCTGCGTTACCTCCGGGCAACAGGTCTGAAGAACAGGCATGGCCTCTCCATTAAGCGCATTAGAACGAGATTCATTTACTTTTGCCAAGTTCTCTACATCAGAAACAGCTGAAATGGAAACATTAACATTTTCATCTTGATGTTCCAAGTTTCCATTAAGCTCCAGATTCTCAAGGAATCTAAGCAGCCGAACATCTACCCTGTTGATTTCTGATCCACTAGTATCAGTCAACTTGTCAATTTCTCGACGTGTAGCAATCGTGTCCAAATCTGAATCATTTCCAGATTCTTCTTCAGAAATTCTTATAAAGTCATCCAAATTAAGCTCATCAATGCTACTAGTCCCACTCAACCTGTCACTAATGGCACCACTTTCTGCTGCAGCTTGTACATCTTCCATGCAATTACTGAAGATGGTTGGGCTGCTAGATCTCTCATGATGGAGGCGAAAGTCTATAGCACCAGCCATTGAATTTTGAAGATGTTCAATTATCTGGATTTGAGTTTTTGATCTTGTAGAGTCCACTGAATTTACAAATTCACCATCCACTCTGACTCTGGACTCTCCTGTACACAAGGCATGCTCCTCGTTCAATTTGAATCCATCCATTTCTTCTTGTAAACCTTCACGACTATCTTCAGTAAATTTATTAAAACAATCAAGTGAAAGATTATATTTTGAATTCGTCTCAGATATTTCAGCCTCAAGAAGGGTTTTAATTGCCAGTTTGGCAGCATTTGAAGCCCACTGCTCTTCAGGAATTTCACTGCAAAAAAGAATTCGGGATAACCAGATCCTAGATAGGAGATCTTAAAAGGTATCAAAAAGTGTCTATCACATTGTATAAAACACAAAACACAGTTAAGGGCTGTGGAACATTCAACTTTCCAAGTTTACTTTTCAATATCATAACCATGGGATCCTTATTTAATAATTAAATTTTACGTAGTCAAAATGAAACTAACAATCGATTGCACTTTCAAGCACTAAGCAGAAATTTATTGTCACGAGGTAAGGAAGTGTTTTTTTCAAAAAATTTAAGTAATTGCCAAAAATTACCATGAAAGAGAACATTCCAAACATCTGTCAAAGGAAAGGACATGCGGCAAAGATTTATTTATTTGTTAACATGAAAAGGAGAATAATATATAAAAGTAAAAAGAGAGTTATAAAAAGGATAAGACACTGAAGAAATGATATACATCTAAGAAATTAACGGGTCCAAAAATAAAACATGAGCAAAAAAATTAAAAAAAAAGCTAATAAAGGTTTATTAGGAGACTATAACGACTGATCCATGCAATCTTCCTTGTGATTATATAGATGAGGATGTATGTAGTGTCAAGAAGGCCAATGAAAAATTATGCAAGAAAGCCTGATACATTAAAAATTTTTCTTTTAAATTACATTCAATGGCATCTAGAAGGCAACTTATTAATTAAAGAATACTGGAAGGGTTCAGTAAGAATTAAGACCACAACAACTACAAAGCCTTAATCCCACTACGTGGGGTCGGCTACATGAATCATTTTTCTCCATTGCGTCCTATTTAGTGTCATATTTTCATTTAGTTCTAGTAAATTAAGATCATTTTTAATACAATAAGCCCAGGCTACATGAATCCTTTTTCTCCATTGCGTCCTATTTAGTGTCATATTTTCATTTAGTTCTAGTAAATTAAGATCATTTTTAATACAATAAGCCCAAGTCATCCTAGGTCTATCTCTGTCTTTCTTAACACAAATCGAATCTAAAACATCTACTCTCATAATCAGATCATCAGATGGTCGACGTTTAATGTGACCAAACCATCTAAGACGACTTTCTCTAATTTTGTCAGTCACAGGAGCTACACAAACCCTATCACGGATATATTCATTTCACATTTTGTCTCTAAGTGTAAAGCCACTCATCCACCTAATCATTCTCATCTCGACAACACTTAACTTATTATTATGCTTCTCTTTTAAAGGCCAACATTCAACGCCATATAGCATTGCAGATCTCTCCACCGTCTTATAAAATTTTCCTTTCAGTCTAAGCGGTACTTCTCTATCACACAAAAGGCCCGAGGCATTTCTCCACTTCAACCAACCAACTTGAATTCTACTATTAATATCCCCATCTATATCACCATCGCTTTGAACGACGGACCCAAGATATCTAAATCGTTCACACCTTTTAATAATTTGATCACCTAAAGTCACACTTCTGTAGCTATTACTACTAAAATTACATTCCATGTATCCAGTTTTTGTTCTACTTTAATGAAGACCTTTAGACTCCAATGTAGACCTCCATAATTCAAGGATATCATCATCAGTAAGAATTAAGACCGCCTCTAAGAAAAAAAATGCTAAAGAATGCCCACCATTTTAAGAAGAGGCGGACTTGTTTTTATAAGAGAAAACAATAAGGTATTATCACGAAAAGTTTACAAGAAGGATTTTATAAGCAAAGAAGAAGCTTGGAGTTTCTTGAAAACCTAGAGGTTGAAAAGATCCCAAGGGTTCACAATTTAATCATGGGATCACACTAAAACAAGAGCATAATCCATAGAGGTCAACATAGGACCCTGGATATTGTCCACGCCCTATGACAACGGCATGACGAGAAAAGGCTAAGAGAAAATCCCTAGTTTACTAAGTTCTGAAAGGACAGTGAAGCGCTGAAAAGCATGTTATAGAGAAGCAACGACGGAAAAGAGGCATTAGGCGAGGGAGGGAAGAAGATGATGAGGGATAGCTACAATTATAATGTAGTGGGCTAACCATAGGTACCGAGGGTTTAGAGTAGATTGCATCCCAATTGACAAATATCAGCAACATGCGATAAACAAGTGCTAGAACTTGCACATAATTCAATATAGCTGAAAGTAACCCACATAAAAGTATAATGACACTAAGAGAAATAGTGTCTATTTTTAGATACTTTTAACTTTTAAACCAATTTAACTTATTTTTTTTAATAAAAGTAGATTTTTAACTTTATATCTCATTTAATTTGCATTGCTTTTGAGAAATTTTCACATTTAATATTTTTTTTATTTCAACCCATGAAGCACGAACACGACACGATAAGGGTACATGGCATAATTGAAAAAAATAGGACAAGCACACCATGAATTATTAATATTAAATATATTTTTTTATTATTCTTTATTATAGATATCACAAAATAGTATGCAAGAATAAAATTTAATAGTAAAAATTTAGTTTGTATCATGAAACCTCATAAAATTATTTTTCAAAATTAAGCATATAATATGTTTCAAAAGTATTCTTCCAAAATAAAATTTAAAATTTCTTGTGACTACACATTGTTTAATTAATTAAGTTAGATTTTAGCTTTTAGAATTATAATAAGTGGAGATTTATAACTTAACTCATCAAAAAGAAAAAAAATTATAAATTATCACTTAAAAAACTAGGGAGGCTTTGACACCACTAACTTCGACAAATCAATGCTTCAATGCAAGCATCGTAAAATTCACATGGTATTTGGATTGGCTTCAACCAACAAGTTTGACTCCAACTTAGATTGTGACAATAAGCTTACGACTTCTGCTCTAGTGAGTGCAAGTTTGGCTTCAATGAATAAAAAAGAACTAGAACACAGTTTCTATAAATGCAAGTTGAATCTATAACACTCGGCTTCGTCAAACAAAGATGAAACTACTGATGCTCGGCTATAACACAGTTTCAATAAATGCAAGTTGAATCTACAACACTTGGCTTCGACAAACAAAGATGAAACTACTGATGCTCGACTTCGAAAAATATTATATGCACAATTGAAGCTTAATTTTGGTAAATGTTAGAGGGGTATTTGACAATACATTTATTATTTTTAATGAAAATAAAAACATCAAAAATCAAATCAAATTCTAATGGCCTCGATTAGAAATATTTATAAGAAATTAAAGACAAAGGAAGCGACATTAGTGCCTAAAATCTAAGCACAAATTAAAAACAAAAATCTATCAAATTTGATTAAATTCAAATGCTTTTTCAAGTCAATAAACAATAATTATAGAAAAAACCAAAAAAAAAGAGAAAATTAGCCAACAAATAAATTCCTCACTTGTTACTCTCCTGAAACAATTCAAGACTCTCATTTGATTATGAAATTGAATGCTGGATGAAGTAAAATTAGATCTAACAAGTACTCTTTTTTTTTTTTTTTTTTTGTACATTCCTCAAACAGCTACTTATGTTGACAAAGCTAAATAAAAAATGTACCTAATTAATCTTAAAGGACAGTACTCGGTCAAAGAAGGATCCCATAACTAAGAAACCGCTAATGACTCAATAGTTGAACTATAAAAGTCATAAGAAAAGGCCACCAAACAAAAAGACAGGAGAACAAATCGTCAAGCAAAAAAAAAACATTCAAAAGAAAATAATGGAAATCATTTAGGCATAGGACTTGTAAGACTTGTATATAAGCTACAAGAATAAAAAAATAAATAATAATAAAAAAGAAATGCAATAACAAGAGAAGAAGTTACATGGTAAAAAATTCACAAGGATAACCAAAAAGTCATTGAAGCATAGAGCATATAAGGAATTGGTAGAAAGAAAAAAGCCATTAAATAGAAGTCATACATAGTATTCCAGCAACTGAGAAAGCTGCTGACAGAGGAAACCATAAGAAGATGAAAACATGAGGGTTGTAAGCTCTATATTAATTCTACTTGGCTGGAAAAATTTTAAATACAATAAATTGCTTGGATGAAAGAAAATGTTTGATTGTTCATTGTATATGGTTGCTTTAATATCCATCATGGTAGTTGACAAAATTTAATATCCACTAATAGTTTAATGAACAAGGTCAATATGAACGTTTGGATTTATTAATCTTAAACTGAAGTTCTCTCGTAAATCTCCCACAGCAAGATATTGCTCCCTACACCACTTATTGTTGGCCGCATGTGATACTTCTCTACAATCATATAGATCTCCTCTTTAGTGTGTGCGTACAAGGTAACAGTTGTAGGCTCGAGTTCACTGTATTTCACTTCTCGCGCATCACATTTTATTTCCTGGTTGTGTAATGCGAGCTATCTCTAACATTGACTCCTCATGACGTCGATGCCTCGTACACTCTTCATTTTTCCATCACCTAAGACGAAACTTGTTTTTTGTTAATTTATTTTTAATTGTGGCCCACGTTGCTCACAAACCCGCTAATGTGGGTTATTTATTTTAATGATAAATGTCATTTAATTAATTAAACGATCTTAAATCTTATCTATCAACAATCCCTGATGGATGGTGGTTACTAACTTATGTCATTTAATTAATTAAATGATCTTAAATCTTATCCATCAATAACCCCTGATGAATGATGGTTAGTAATGTATGTCATTTAATTAATTAAATAAATTAAATCTTATTGTTCAATAAACCCCTTCATGGATAGTGTTTAAATAATGCATAATTCAGAGAAGTGTCATCTCTTTTCCTAACAGACATATTATGTTTCTTTCTATCAGAAAGTACATAAAGTTTCCAGAGATTAGAGAGGAAAACTCCATCTCCTCAGATCTAATTCTATAATCATAAATATAGGTATGTTTCTCTCTTATGAATGAATATTTAAAAATCATGAATTCAAAGATCTTGACCATTATATGCATAAAGTGTTTGAGTCATAAAATTGGATCACAAATGAAAAGTACTAATATGTGGTGTCAAAGCTAAGTTGTTGAATTTGTGATTTTTTATTTTAATTTTATGTACGTTAATTGTATTAGATTTCCGC